ATGTGCATTTGTTTCATGATCTGCTTAACAATAGCGGAATGATGGCCATTTTAAGGCCGAAAATGCATCAAAATCACATATTTTCACAATTCCAGAACCGGATCTCAGTCATGCATGGATGGATTTTGTTCAGATTTAGCACAATGTGTTGTACATATGCAGGTGCATTTCGGTCATGATCTGCTTTGAATGTATATGTCACTCAAATATGAACGGAACGGGGACGTGTCATTGACAATGACTTGTTTCAAACCATGAATTATTCTGCAAAAATTGTCATTTAAAAGTATGGAAACCCACAAAAATGTGTATGTTACAGTAGCACATTTCAATTTGCAATCTGCTGATAAATTCATAATTTTTCATATCTTCTTTTTTGCAATGTGACTGAACAAGCTCAAAATTGACTTTGTTCATGTGGTATTAGCAGTATGACTAAACATATTTTATCCTTAGTGCAAACTAAGAGTTTATCTGTATCAGACTGCATTAAGTATGTGTTTCTGACATCATTTCAAATGCCCTTTCTTGGAGAGTGACTGTGAGTGCTTGAAATTTAGAGTGGAGTCAGACACACCTTACTGGTATTTTAATATGAGAAGGAATGAAAAGTTTATGTTCAAAAATATGTCTCAAAATGTATAATAATAATATTATAATGTAGTATGATAATAGGGTGACAAACTTAGCATAGCATAATCTATTGAAATGGTGTTTTGACAGAATTTGGTTACATTCCTAAGAAAAAATGATTCCTGCAACATCTTAACCTGCCAAATGACTTGGTATACCTTTTAAAATAATTATTTACATTTCTCACCATTGAAGCTTTCCTGATATTACTTGTCAAAAAAGTCCAGGTATTTTATTTATTTTGGAAATAAATCAATTTTTATCCTCTCCTCAGTTGAGTGATGAAGACAATGATGATGATGAAGATCACGAGGACAGTGAGGATACTACTGAAAGTTCATCAGATAGTAATGATGAAAATGATGTTGATGAAGAGACAATGTAAGTATTGTCAGTTTGAGTTTGCATTGTAATGAGAATATGACGAGCAATAGTCATGACATGTACAAATCATTGGCGTCTAGGTTTCTATATTCTTGTGACATCAACTGCTGATTATCTCGGAATTTCTTTGCTCGACGAAAAACTCAAATTTAATAAATATATAATATTATTGTATATCTGTCACTGTAATGCCATATTAAAGTTACGATGTGTCGTCATTTTGCGGTATTGCACTGGGTATTTGCATCCTACCATATTAGGAAATGCGTGTCAGTCGATGCACTATACTGTATTAGTGTGGTAATACTTCACAGGGTCAGTACTGTGATGGTGATTATTAATGATGTAATATGAACGATGCCATGAAATTTTAATCATGTTATTTGTTACTGCATGTTGATAAAATTAGATTAGGTGTTATGCAGACTAAAACATTGTTTTTACAGCACACTACTACGCATGTGCAATGATTGTTATTGTGTGTACCAAAACAATTATTGCTTATGCATATTTTTTTTGTCAAACAAACACTTTACATTTGTTCTACAAGAATAATGCTTCGGTTAGTGATGAATCATAATACATGTAATATTCATTAATATACAGTATCAAAAAACAACAAAGTGAATGTCATGTTCTTGCCCATATTGCAATTCAGGTCTGGTGACAATGATGTGGAAAATTTACAGCAAACCTGGGATTCTATAGAGCAGCATCCACTGGATACAACAGCGTGTCTAGCTAGCCATCCTGTGGATAATTCTAATCTCTTACTGGATGGTGCAGTAGGTTATAGTAGTCAAGCCCAGGCTGATGAACTGATGTTATTACAATTGTTAGATTTACAAGACAGATCAACCGCTGACGATAGGTGGAGTTTTCATTCAAGACCAACTCTTGCATTTGGAGGTATGGTAATTTTGTTGTTAATATAGTAAATGCACTACTTATTCACTGGTTTTTAATATCGCTCTTTTGTTAATAAATGAAATTCCCTAAAATAAATCCACATGAACTTGTGGTATAACAATATAACCCAATGTTCCCTTGCCAAGTTTGTCAACTTAATACTCGGTGAAATTCAGTCAGCAAACATAAATGTAATACACAGCCCAACCCTTCAGCAAAATTAAACAATCCCATACTAAGTTGCAAACCTTTCTTAATTCTCTTTAAATATAGTGACTAATTCGTCACTCGTCAATCAACTAAATACTGTCATGAAATAATAAGTGATTTTCCTAAGCTTGAGCCTGGAAAATTGGGTTTGGCCTGATTTTCAGTTCTTCTCTGGTTTAGTTAGCTTATTACAATGTAAAATAACACTTTAAATTTCTCTCACACAGGGAGAAGAGATCGAGATAAAAGGAAGAAAAGACAGTTACCGTCTCTGTCAGCTGACAGTATGTTACAGCATATACAGGAACAGATGGCACAGGTGACTGCGACGGCTAATGCCTTGGCAGCAGAGAATGTAACGCCCAGTGTCAGTACATCACAGTCTGATAGCAGTATAGGTATGGCACTATTTTGTGTGTAATAATGAGGTTTATCTATTTCTAATGATAGTAACTAGGGGAACATTCACAGGGGGTTATGTTTGACACCAGGCCTGGTTGTTGCCTTGTATGCACTATTAAATTGCCATGTTCACACATTCCTGTCGCGAGATCCTAGCATTAAATTTGTTTTCTGTGGCAAAATGTGCTATTCTTGTGAGTGAACATCCAGGCTTTTTCACCACCTGGCAAATATTGTGAAAACAATAGTCAAAATCTTACGCACACACAAAAAAATAAAAATATTGATGGTAGTAGTTTTTTCTTTTGCAGGCAGTAGAAATAATCCCAAGTGGTATTTTGATGATAGTTTGAAGCCATCGCATCAACTAGCAAGTGGTGATGCAAGCACGCTATCGCAGCCAGAAAGATCTCGCACTCGTCCACAGATGGAAGCTGTTAGATCAGCACATGATATACTAGATAGTTCTAGCCCGTTGTCACTTCGAATGTCTGTCACTAATGCCAAAGAGGAAGAACAACAAGCTGCTGGTGGCGGCGATGATGTTGTCAGATCCAATGCCCCTCTTCCAACAGTTGCCAACCAACCAAGCAGTGCTGATGTTGTTGTCATACCAACAAGCAGTAAGTGCATTCTGAAGTCTTACAATTAGAGAAGCAACCATGTGGAAAACAATTTTGCCTGAACATTTTTCATATCATCAGTTTGTCAAAAATAATTCTAGTGATTCAAGTGACTTAACAGCGTGAAAAAACAAAATTAAAATAACATAAAAAATAGCTCCAACATCAGTAAACGCTGTGCTTCTAATAGAGATAACACTATACAAAATTTGCTCTTAGAAGCATGTGTATTTACATACATGTATATGATTGAGGTCGTCCATGGTCAAAATAAGTTTAATTTTTGATCCATCACTCAATTAAAGAATTCAGAATTTCTGTGCACTTCTAAATAGAGTGAATATGTTTCATCAGACCTGCATACATGTAGGAGATAAAATGAAATTTGAGGAAAATAAGAATTGCGCAAAAAAAAAAAAAAATCTATAGAATGCATAGTTTTGTAAATTTTACGTGTCATCTTTCTACTCAGGTGACCAAAGTGAGAATGTTGATGATGACGAGGATTCTGTCGAGAGCCAGCCTGAAGTCATGCGTGGAGGGAGCACTACACCAACTGCATCAGCCGAACAGTTAATGGAAGAGTACCCTCTGTCCCCAAGCACAGCTGATACGTCTTTGGAACAGTTTCCATTGCTAGATCAATTTCCTCTCAACCATGATTTAGATGCCAAGTCGGTAATACCATCTCTCAATACAGCTAGACTTGTGGCTAGGATGAGGTAATAAAAATAAACGATTTAATCTCTGACTTCATAATTGGACATACTGTAGGTTATAAAGTGAATCTTATTTGTTCTGTGTCTGTGTCATTAATTGGTGTAGCTTTTTAGCTCCGCTGTTGACTTTGTCGAGCAGAGCTTATCATATGAGTGATTGTCCGTCGTCGTCCGGCATCCGTGTCAATGTTTTACTTTTTCAACTTCTTCTTGAAAACTACGAGCCTGAATGCTTTGATACTTGGTGTATATGTCGCTTGGGTAGACCTCTCTCAGATTTGTTCATTTCATGATCATATCTTCAATTCTCTAATTTTGGTGAATATTTTTGTCATTTTTGGTAAAAAGTGATATTTTTGACTTCTTGTTAAAAACCACAAGTCCAATTGCTTTGATATTACATATGTATGTACTACATGTGGACCACTCTCAAATTTGTTCATTTCATGATGATATCTTCCATTCTCTAATTTTGATGAATATTTTTGTCATTTTTGGTAAAAAGTGGTATTTTCAACTTCTTGTTAAAAACCGCAAGTCCAATTGCTTTGATATTACATATATAGGTACTACATGTGGACCTCTCTCAGATTTGTTCATTTTGTAATGATATCATCAATTCTCTAATTTTGGTGAATATTTTTGACATTTTTGGTAAAAAATTATATTTTTGACTTCTTGTTAAAAACCGCAAGTCTAATTGCTTTGATATTACATATATAGGTACTACCGGGTACATGTGGACCTCTCTCAGATTTGTTCATTTTGTAATGATATCTTTAATTTTCTAATTTTGGTGAATATTTTTGTCATTTTTGGTAAAAAGTGATATTTTCGACTTTTTGTTAAAAACCACAATCATTTATGGTGAAAAATAATATTTTTGAATTCTTGTTGAAAACAGCGAGTCCCATTGCATTGATACTATGCATATTGTTCATTTTCTAATGATATCTTCTGTTCTTTAATTGTAATGTGCATTGCTAACAGCGGAGCTATCTCAGTCGAGAGGCTGCTTGTTTGATAGTAGGCATGTGGCTGGTAGTTGGCATGTATAATTTTTGTCATTGGATTCCCTGATACAGAATTCTTGTGGTGATGTTTCATTTGTTTTGATGACTTTTTTTTGAGTCTAGTTTTTCTTGTATTACATTTAAGATGTTATGATTGGGATGAGTTGCAAGTGCTGTAGAAGACCATTTTCAACATATTATTGACAGTACACTTTGAACATTGTGTGGGTTGGTTGTGGACAATCAATAAGAAACTGATTGGGACCAAATTGGTTTGGCAAACGTTTCAACTTCATTTATAGTCGTCTTGTGCCAGGCACAGCTTTGGAGAGACATACAGTACACAGTGTTACATGTCACACATTTTATATCTAGACATACAGTACACAGTGTTACATGTCACACATTTTATATCTAGAGACCGAATGATCACAATGAGAAAGCCTGACAAGGAGGAAGTGAACTCACAGTGGAAGACAATAGGTCCTGATAACTCAATTGTCTCAGCTGATCCTACAGAGGTGCTAGCTGAGTCCGCTTCATCCACTGAAGGTAAATTCATCTGATGCTTCTTCTTTTTTTCTTTTTTTGTTTTGTTTTGTTTTTTCTTTCACAGTGCATTGACTGAGCCTGGCAAACCTGACCAACCTTGCCCCTCTACCTCTGGATCTTCTGTATCTTCTTCCAAAAGTAACAGACTTTCAGGTAGAGTTGTACAAATCCAGAAAAATAACAATAATGTCCAATTCTCCTGTCCCTTAACGATTAACTGAAATTTAATTGATTTGTTAAAGTTGTGTTTTTGTTTCTTCATCTGTCTATCTTGTGTCTCAGCGTCTGTCCACTTTATACGGTTGTCAGCATTGTGCTATGAACACTTAAGAAATCATGCCCAGGCATTTGGTATGAAATACAAGTTTTGACCAGTTTGTGCAATCACATCAGGTGTGACCCACATTCAAGGGTCATGGTGTTTTTGCAGCAAAATTTGTAAGCTTGCAATTTGCATCTAGCCATCTACTGTGCATTTTAAGTACATCTAAACATTTGACAAAAATAAATGATTTAATCAATCGTGATAAGCCACTGTCAAGCATCATTACGACATCGACTCTATTAGAAACGCATCTCAAAGTGCTTACTAAAGTTGTACGCTACTGTAATAGTATCATCAGAGATGTCTGCTTCACATACTGTCTTAAGTGTTTTCAGTGCATGTAGCCTTTGATAACTACTAACAAAATAACAAATAAAGGGTTTGTACTGTCACTGGATGCAAAGTCGCGATGTGTCCTTGTCTCCAGAGATTGTTATGCAGTGGTTATCTCTGGTTGCTTACTGATGATATTAGAATGCATGTTTGAGTCGCATAGATGACAATGAGTTTTTGCTTACTACATTCTCCCTGTATTTATCTGTAGTCGCTACCTTTATGTTATGTTTAAACAAAATCAGGTTGATACACGTGAAATTAAACGGTTGCACGAGAAGCATGGTTTGAGATGTAGATTTAGAAATAACTTTCTGGTGTTCATGCACTTGATTGCAATAATGTATTTTACAATGAACAGTGCTATAATAAAGAAGTAGTAAAAATTAGCATTACAACTTTATTATCTTATTTAAAAGAAAACATGCGAAATCATGCCAAATTTAATATTTGCATTTACTGAGTATAGAACAATGGTGTACATTTGTATTGAATTTAAATTCTCATATAATAGAAAAATATTATCTAATTGAAAGCTCGTTATAAAGTGGAAGACAATTTATAGCCGTATGAAGATTCATATCTACAATAATATGTGACATTGTCTGTGTCACCAAAGCATGATTTACAAATATAAAGAAATGTTCCATAGAAACCAATGCAAAACAATTTTCATAAAATTCTGACTCTTTCTGAAAAATTCTTGTTGTATATATCTCTGGAACGTTATTATTGAAAATGACATTTGTTTTGTTCCAAGCCTTCTTAAACAAATATGAGACTGTTGTGTTTAGTCTGTAGTCATTTCTGGTTGATAATTTATTTGGTTTTAATTAACACTAATCCAAGGAATTGGTGACTAGTTGTTATTTTGTGTACTCCTACTGACTCAAAGTTTAAAATGTTGATAATGTGTCTGTCCTCTTTTATTACTGTGTAACCATGTCATTGTAAAGTATTGTGATGTTTTGTATTGTTTTACTAAACACAGACATTTCACCAACATCATTTCTTGTGTACACACACTCATCAGCAGATTATCATGTTAACACATGCATCATAGATAGGAACACTACCCAAGGCAAAACTTTAATGCAACACTTTTTAATTTTCAAGATAAACGTCATGTTTAAAGATAGCGCATGTATATAATTAACTGAAGACTACAGACAAGATGACCGTACTCATTTGACTTAGCAACCTTGCTCAACTAAGCTCCCCCCCCCCCCCCCCTAACTTTCAGGCATTTTCATTTACGTTCGGCTAAGAACCCACTCTTTCCAAAATGCCCTAACTTGGTTTTGAGCATTGTTTGAATTTTCCTAATACCGATAATCAAATTTATATCCATAATAATGCCTTTCAGTCTTGTGAAATAACTACTCTGTTACAGTAGAATATACAGTAGTGTTCTAATCGAGATTATTTTGACGTAATTAATTAAGCACGCTTTTGAAAACTGGTTAAAAAACATTCAGAAAAAATGCTAACCAACGATTGGACAAGAAAAGCGCTAACCTTTTGAGTTTAATGAATGTATCACACAATACTTGCCTGTCAATCAGAGTTCAGTTAACAAAGATGAAGCTGTGGTGATCTGGAACACAACTGACAAGTACATCACAGTACATAGTCAAATCATTAAGAGAAAAGTATATGGACCACAAAGCATACTACCATGAAGTGATGTCAGGTGTTTGAATAGGGCAGTCACATCCTACTTCACATGTTATGTTATATGTATGTATCTGTGTTGTTACATGTTTGTGTCTTTGGCTCATACTTGTCTAGTTTCCTGGACTCCTGGTTTAACTATCTATAGTAATACAACATGCAGTGATGATAGAAGGATTTCCTCATATTTAGGGGCGACAGGCAGCCTTTCTGATGTTAGTGGTGAGAGGGCACCATCTGACCTGAGAACCAGGGATCCATCACCTCCTCCTCCTGTGGCTGTTACAAGAAAGAAGACGTCAGGATCAAGTCGTAGTACTAATTCTCGTAAGTGGAAAAATATCCAGTGACACACATACATACATACAAATACGTGCCACTACATGTAGTTTGTTTTTACCAAAAAAATCACTGAAGTGGGGGTCAGATAGATGTCACATTCACGTTAGATTCATCTCCTGGGCTCAGTTGTATATTGTGAAAATTCAATTTATGAACTACACCACAAAAACTGTATGTCATCTGTTATTACAGTTTTATAGAACAATACTCGTACTACCTAAAATTTGTAACTGTGAATAGTTTTAATCCTATGCACCTAAACACACTTCATGTACTACAGAGTTGACATTGAGTCACATAGTGAGTGTGAAACAATAAGAATGCTTTATTTCTGCTCATGTATTGCCAATTGGGAAGTAGTTTATGTCATTGTTGTAGCATTTTTAAGGGGATGAGTCTAAACAGATCAACGTGAATTTGACATGAATCCTTCATTAACTTAACCACCTTAACCTTTCACATAATAAATTTGCATAATGTTTTTTTCTTCAAAATTTTGATTAAAACCTTTTGGCAATATGAATAAATCACTAAAAAATCTAATTACATTCATTAGAAATTACTGAATAGATGTTATACTGTTGTATCTTGTTTTATTTTCAGAATCATCTAGCATTCCTAGCAGCCAGGATGTTTTTGGTTTATTTGAAGATGATAAGGACAAAGATCAACAATCCATCTGTTGATAGTATACTATGCTGTACCTGTACACCAGAGATTTTGTTTCTGATGTTTAGAACTTGTGACTTTAATAATAAGAAATTGTTATATAGTATATTATTATATAACATTTTCTGATGGGTTGGAAACGAACACTATGGCTAAATAACGCTAATTTGAGTACATCGTCAATTGGCAGACTTGGCTTTCGGTAATTCGTCAGGCATAACTCTGGTGAGTTGGCAGCAAAGACTGGCTACACTGTGCTACCATACTTCATATTAGTGATACATCGTCAGTTGACAGATTTGGTTTTGGACAATTTGACTAGCATAAGTCATTGGCAACGAACACTATGGCTACACTCGCATCACTTCACTAAAAATAGTGTCATTGCATGGTTTGTTTTTCTTTGCATATAGTTCAAACATGAAATGATTACATTTTAACACATATGTTAACTACATGCACCCCAGTCAAGCGATTTCATCTCTATAATTGTAATTTAAAATCAGTATTCCACAACATAAAACAAAATTTTAAAAATTAAAAATGTAATTAAATGATTTTTGTACCCAGACGATGAATATATAGTTAATTGATGATACGATTGCAAAAGCTGACTGGCAGTGTGCCCTCTGTGCTGCGAGTCAATTTATGAAAACTATGAAATATATGAAAACTACCACTGAGGGTGCACTTCAAAGTGTTATCACAAGGGGTTTTGCAAGCATGTGATGAAGAATGCTGAAGAATGAATTGATATTGAGTTCTCCTTCTGAACTGATAATAAACATAAAAATTATGTCAAAAGTGTATCTCACTTGACCAAGGTGGAGAGCAAAGGAAATTTGTGCATCCAACCTCTCAATTTTGCATGTTTTGCATCGCTATTGTATTATTTTATCTCTGTGTTGTCAAGCAGTTGCGACAAATTTGTCATATATGGTTTCGTTTTCCCTCATGGTGCTTTGCCAAAGGTGGTGGGGAAAAAATCTACCTTTTGTGACCACACCAGTAATGATGTCTTGGTTCACATCAACTGCTACATGATATATATGCTTGCATGTTATTTACCATACTCACTTGCATTTATGAATATATTAATATAAGTTATTCAAAAATACTTGTATGGAGTTTGGTGACAGAATTTGTTTGTTTAGCCCATCTAATATCAACTTTAGTTGCAATGATTGTTTTTAATGTTTTAAAGTAAATCAATCAATGATAAATGAATGCGTAAACATTTACTGGACTGAACACTTGCAGTCAGGTTGAGGTTTTTATACCATGTATTTGACGTTATGATAGTTCATTTTAGATAATATAAGACGTGATCCATCATAATGGATGTGCATTATTTTTATTTGCAGTAAAACCAAAATTACAGAAATTTCAATTTCTCTAGTTTTTGCTACCGAAGATTCACATTCTGTTATACTTGATTACCGGGTACATGTAATTTTGACTTTGTATGGTAAATAACTGGCAAGCATACTTATACAACTCGTTCAACTGATGCTTCAATACTCTTTTTGTATATATATTTCAATTGTTAATTATGTACATTCGTAATAATGTTATTGTAAAATAAGTGAAAGTTGTAATTATTTCAGGAGGGCAACTGCAAAACCGATGTAAAAAAAAAATTGTCTGGCATTTCTTTCATTCACCTTTTCAAATGAAGTGAAAGAGATGCCATATTACTACCGAGGTACCAACCCTTAAAATTTAGTGTTGAGTCCTTTATGTATCTAGCCGAGAATCTATGTAGCGTTCCATTAACGTCTAGGTATATAGGTAGGTCATTTATTGACTGGAGATTTGATTGGTTGAATGAAATTCCATCAACTATGCCTAGAAACAGTGCTAGTAATATCTCATCATGGTCAGCTAATAACTGTGAATTTGATTGGTTGAATGAAAGTGCCATCAACTATCCCTAGGTGTCTTCACGGTCAGCTATTGACTAGATTTGATTGATTTAATACAAATTCTGTCGACTATATAAAGCATAGTCAAAAATCTGGAATTGACGTGATTATTCAAACTGTTGAGTGAACACCACTTCTGACAACCATTGTGTGTGACGTTTGCATATATGTACTGGTACATGTAGCTAGGCATCATGAGTGGAACACTGCATAGATTCTTGGCTTGGCTATCACATATCTGGTGCACCTGTGTACAGAATGAGGTAGTTGTACATGTTCACTTGCATTTGCTAATTTTGTAATATAGTGGTTCTATCGTATATGAACTAATGCTGTGTGGTATATATATATATATTTTCTCTTAAGCCTTTGGTTTGAATAAAAGAATATAATCTTTAAAGACTGTGTGCATTATCAATGACTGAATACCCATGTCATTTTGGTGTCTTGTCAGACATTTTCTTTCATCAAATGTACATAATCATGAACTCTAGCAAAAGGAGTGCGTATAAGTGCACATAAACCCACACTTGCATTTAAGAAAGAGTTCCTTTTGTACCCCCATCCTTACCCTCCATCACTCCCCATTTAATTGTACATGCCCCTTCTAAGGACATCTATAGTTATCTAGAGGGGGCATATACAAATGAATTTGGTCACTTGGTGTTAGGGGGGTACAAAAGGAACTCTTTCCTGCATTTATTGTATTTTGACCACAGATGTGCATGCGCGGGAATTGAGTCACAAGCGATAATACACGATAAGAAAATGACATGCTATGGCCATCTGACGCATGCGCAACATGTGTTAACTAAAATAATAACATTTCATACATCTAATGGCAAGTCTGTTTCGTCCTATTTCAATTTGCCTTTCCTCAGCAGTGTGATAGTTTAACAAGCTCTGTGCATAACAATCAAAGGTTTGTTTATCAAATATTTGTGTAGCTCGCATTAGATAGAATCTGCCATGCTCTTCATTGTTTATTTCAGAGTTTTTACTTGCTTATTTGAAAAATAAACCTATTTAACATTAGTGCTATCGATATATAGAACTGAACACTTTCCAATATGATTATGAACCTCCAGCAAAAACATTTCTGTATTAAAGTAAAAAGATTGTTTGTAATGAGATTATTCAAAACTTTGGAATACCAAATATTACCCTCATTTTACCATAGATGGTGCTTTTAAACTCACTCAGTGATCATTGGGGGGGGGGGGCTGACATACAGAAGCTAGTTTCTCAGTAGATACTTCGCCATTGCAACAGAGTCCCAATTTATTTTTGTGATAAATGACATTTATTGCACTACATAAATAATAAAAATGTAGGAGTAGTGACAAAATGAAACACAGTAATACAAAATAGTTTAAGCCAACAACTTGTTCTGCATGCCAGTAATGAACATGGGACAAAGAAAATCTTCCTACAGCACTGTTTTTCATAATGCACGAAAAAAGAGGTAAATTCGTAGAAAATATTAAAACATGTTTCTAAAGTCAATTGAATACATGCATTTTGTTGAAAATATGTAAAAGAAAATGAGGATAAAATAAGGTTTTATTTACAGAAAATGCATAAAATAATTTGGCAATTCAGGTGTACAGAAGGATTGAAAACAAATTACGCATACTACTGAATCACCATCTAACAGATCACAATAACCATGGCAACAACATTATCAGTCTAATGCTATATTCAAAAAACCATAGAAATATTTTCACAACTTATTCTACTTACACATTTAAGGTATTTTTTCGAAAGGACATCTCCATAATTAACTGAGGGAGCCCATTTGTATTCAGAAATGAACGTCCTATGAAATATTAACATTACAATGGACAAGTGAATATTGGTTTTCCGTAGATACATCCTTTCAGAAGCATTTTTAAGTCATAATTTTTCAAATGTGCAATCACCACCAATCATGTAATAAAATGGTTTTGGGTTAGAATACTAAAATACTGACACTAACCACAATACCTGCTGAATATTGGAAAATCCAAATTTGAACGTATTTCAATACTGTGCTATATATAGCACAAATCTTGCAGTATGAATACAAGGTTTTACTATTACACAAATAAAGTTGTATAACTGTTAAATACAATACAAACTAGTTCTGCAAGGAAAGTGAATTTATTCATATCTCCCAGCAACACTTGGTGTTGACATCTTTTCAAATTTTATTTTAATGTTAGTTTTAGACAAAACAGATGTAATCTGAATTGACTGTGTGATTTTAATCAAAGGATTTGAAGATTTTGATTATTAGTTATGATGAGAATGATATTCACAGGAAAGGAGACAAAAATACAAGATTCAGAAATATCCCGAGAAATAAAAAAAAAAAGAAAGCAAATGACATTACTTGCTACTGTACATGCTGGTAAATGATAATATTGCTTCAACAATTCACAGTAGACACGTTAAGTACAAGAAATATAATGGGATAAATGGTTAATTAAATAAAGGCATAGTAGAAGTTGATTGTAATTCCGTACAGAAAACAGTACATTCCTAGTGTCGTCAGTAATGTTCAAATACCAAATCAGGTGAAAACAAATATTCAAGAATTGAAATACACATTAAATAATTGACACTAACCCGGGAAGGAGCCCCCTACCATGCATGTCAATAATCTGACATCCTTCTAGCAATATGGATTTTTCGATGTATATCAAAGAACACATTTTCAAATGTGCTTCATGACACCTCTAGAGGGCACTATACATACAAGGGGGATGTATTTGAATATTAAAATTTTCCTAAGCATTAACATAATTATTTCCATGTGTGTGGAGAAAGTGGTTCACACACACAATTGCGATTAAAATAACTGTGTATATGAATACAAAAACAATTAAATTAAAGTCATAACAGTTTTCTAAAACTTGTGAACATTACTAAAACTAATCTAATTGGTAAAAAAAAATAACTCGGTTCAGCTGTATCAGACCCTGAAAGTAGTAATATCACATTGGTATCAGAGCTCGCATGTCAAATACAAAAAGATAGTCTCTTTTTGTTGTTTGTTCTTTAAAACCTTTTGGAAATCAGGAAAAGAAACAATCTTTATTGAAAACTTAAAAACCATGCGCAGGAAAAAAGTGAAATTTTGCATATCACTTTTGAAGTTCTGCTGTAAAAGCAACACTATTTTATGGAGAAAATCCACTTGTATGTTTATTCAACACTTTTAAAAATTCATTCAGTTAAAAAGCAGAGAAATACTCAAAAATGAATATGTCGTTTTGACCCACGAGCTGTGACACAATATAGTAGAAATACATGTAATCAAACTATAGTTTTAAAAAAAAATTAATATACAGTAATTTTAATATTAAGACATTTTTTTTTAAATCTCTTCTGATTAGGCTCTGGCTCCTGGTACCTTGGTCAAAACCTGTAATTAAACAAAAATTAATTATTATAATTACAATTATAATGTGTGTGCTGCATTCTTATTGGTTGATTGATACCACATACAGTCATGTTATCAGACAATAACTGATCAGTGACTGAGGTCAATGCACAAACTTACAAACAAAAACGTGTGGGACTCAGTTATGTCCTTTGTTTCCCCAACTTTGTTTGGATCATTTAAACAACAAACCCTCCATGATTCATTGATGTCAGGAAATCCTGGTTATTTTTGTCTAGACCCATCATCGTGTTTCACATGTCAATTGCAAAATTTCAGGGTATTAAAATTGAAATAAAGGACACCACATTTACCATTATTTTCTGATAAGGGCTTGAACAGGGATGTTAGATTAAAGAATGGGCTGACTGCATCTCATTATAACCACATTCCTGTACTTGCCCTGTTATTTTAAGAATAATGAATTCCCAAAAGTGCCATAATGGATGAGGAGTATGGTTTATGGCAAAAGGAAGCCAAAGTCCATCAAGACCCTTCCTGAAACCAATATGACGCAATAAAAACAAATTAAGTAAAATTTTTCATGAAATGAATTGTCTTGCAAAAATTACATTATTTCATTCTGATGGTGGTGATTACAACACACAGTAATAGGCAGTGCATTGTCCTAATTCAAAGATTGTAAACATGTTCTAGCAAATTTTCACCGACATGACAGAATCACGGAAATTTTCAAAACTTACAATTTAACAGATAAACAAGCAGCCTATCGGCTGAGATAGCTCCGCTGTTAGCAATGCACATTTCAATTAAAGAACTGAAGACATCATTAGAAAATGAACAATATGAATAGTATCAAAGCAATCGGACTTACAGTTTTTAACAAGAAGTCGAAAATATCACTTTTTACCAAAAATTACAAAAATATTCACCAAAATAAATTAATTAGAGAATTGAAGATATCATCACAAAACGAACAAATCTGAGAGAGGTCCACATGTAGTACCTATATATGTAATATCAAAGCAATCGGACTTACAGTTTTCAACAAGAAGTCGAAAATATCACTTTTTACCAAAAATGACAAAAATATTCACCAAAATTAGAGAATTGAAGATATCATCACAAAATGAACAAATCTGAGAGAGGTCCACATGTAGTACCTATATATGTAATATCAAAGCAATTGGACTTGCGGTTTT